TTGGGTGGTGCCTCCAAGGAGTCCACCATGGCCTCTCTCCGATACTTCAATGGGAACGACACCTCTTTCCCGCAGGTTGGAGTGTTTTTTGTATATGCAACGGTAGCGTCTTGAATTTTATCTATCGAGTACTGTGCACTCATCTTTTAAAGGTCGCTCAGCACAATGCCTCTTCCGGTGTCGACCTTCTACTAGGGGAGTCAGAATACGAACCTACGGAGTATTCCTTGGTCGGAGACATCCAGTTCGTGAGTTGGTTTCGTGGTCTGGCTCTTGATCATCCACCTGACGATTCCTTTAGCTATTTCATCTGGGCTCGCCTGAAAACATTGAACTCGACATGTGCCAGCGCCCGTACGTCCACCTCTCCGGAGTGGCCATGAATTCCAATGCGCAATCGGCTACCTGGACCGTGGATGCTGATCAGTATACGTCGGCCATCCGGGAAGTTCAGAAGTCGGCCAAGGAAAAGGGTGAACCGGTTCCGAGGTGAGAATCGTGTTCGTCTTCACGACCAGGACTTGACTAAGCTGTTTCTCTAGATCCCTCTTCCCGGCTAATTGCATCATTCAGAACTCTCAGCGCTACACCCTCGCCAAAAAGCCGGTCCCCTTCAACAAACGCTACTTCATGCTTGCCGGATATCTCACTGACATCGTCGGCAAACTCGACAACAGCGGCAAACTGATTGAACGCTTCTGCGTCGATGTCGAGAACATCTCCTTCCTCGGGATGCTCACTCCAGGCGCCACTGGTGGGACAGTCACAGATAGCCCGGGTTCGTCATTCAACCAACTTCAATGTGTCAACTGATTTCATTTCAGCTGCGGGTTCCACTTCTTCGCCGGGCGGCCCAGGCGGCCCAGGCGGCACCCCGGGCCCTTCCAAGCGCTGGTCTTATGCGTCAGCGGGCAAGAGCAAGAGGCGTCGGATGAGCAGCCCAGGACCTGAGGATGTCGCCTCATCCTCATCGTCCCCTGGGCCATCCTCTGGACCATCTTCCCCGTCGCCGAACTTGACTAAAGTTTGAATCACCATAATTACGCATCACTCAGAAACCTTAATCCTGCCTTTCTCTACTCTTCCAGTACTGCTTCCTCTACTTCCTCTACTTACTTTTTTATAATAATACAATTGAAGTTTACGGTTCTTGCGTCCGAAACTCTGTGAATGAAAAAATGACATTTGTGAACAGTTGTACTCAAACTCGCCAAAATGCAAAGCCCACACTACGGAAACATTTTGCGACCTCCAGTAGGGCTAGAAGAAGATTTACAGAGGAAGCTTAGAATTTCTGTAAGCACCCCCCGTTGTCCAGAAAATCTGCAAGTATATTCACGCTGCAACGATGTCCGGGAAAACATAACTCCGTAGCGAAGCACGGGTTCCTGCTAGTCGGAATATAAAAACGCTCTCTGCGGCTTAATGCCTGATCCAGCTCGAATTCTGTCCGGCCATACATGCATCTCGCACTCGCCGGCGCACTCTGATTACCTCGGTGTCCCAAGAAGCGAAATCTCGAGAATTAGGAGATGCTCTCGGGCGGTTTCGGGCAGTGAGCTCGATGTCTTGTTGCCTCTTCGGGTGGTTTCGGCCCCTGAATTCCGATCGCGACATGCTTCTAACTTTCGCCTGCTCACTGGACTATTCCCTGCTGCCGGCTTTCGCTACTAGCTGCCATTCCTGACGACGTTCGACAGCTCCGAGCTGGCGGCTGACATGGCATGTCGCATGGCGAAGCCGAGTATGCACCTATGCGTCAATGGTGCGCCGAGCACGCGCATTCCATTCTGTCCACGATAATTTGGCATAGAGGTTGCCTGCAACTTCACCAACGGTCTGTTTTTCAACACTCTCCAAGCCTCATACCATGGGACACCTATCGGCGGACACATGCTCACTATTGATTGGGCTCGTCCTTATCTACGTCGAGTGTCCATTGTATTATCCAACCCTGGCCCGCCGCTGCTTTGGATCTCACTCCCCTCTGGTTCCTCAACAATGGGTTCACGGATAAGATGTGGGTTCAAACATAAATTCTCAATTCAGCATCTTGTTTGCTTTGAAATTGTGCAGCGTTGCATAGGTCAGGATAGATTGGTCCCGTCTACTGTGTTGGTTTCGTGAGAGGGGTGTGGTCATGGGCCGACATCTTGTTGCATCGATGGAACACGTAGAATGGCTGTAGCGTTTCATGTCTGAGGCTCATGTACGTCGGTACAGCACCCGTTTGTTCCTCATTGGGACCTCGCGGTTATACATCCTCCTCCTCCTCCTCCTCCTCGAGAATCCCCTCAAAGACCTGTGACACGTTGAAAATTTTCGAAAAAAACAGGGCCCTGTGACTGTGACTTACGAATTGAATGAAATGGTACAGCAGTTTCGAAAGCAACAAACAAGCAACAATTTGAATGCAATAAAAGATGGGTATGCATTGAGATCAAGGTCGAGTCTAAGTCGAGATACGCGAACAGAGTTGAAATACCGACTACGAGCGGTAATTTGTGAGCAAAGGATTGGATAGGCATAAGCATGGGCATGGGCACGCCGCGACGATTCATCCGGGAATTCTACGACGCGCCGAAGAATTACAACAGAAAAGAGAGAGATGGAGAATCACGCGGCGACCCCCTTGTGGTGCTCTGCAGTGATGTTTCAAGCGGGAATGGCGGGGGCGGCGGTGGCGGCTTCGTACGCGTCCATAGCGTCGTTGCGCATGGTGCAGATCTCGTCGCAGTGGACGGCCTCTGCTTCGTCAGCGACGTCCTCTACGACGGCGTCGATGTCCCCGGCGAGGCGCGCGGCAAGCGCGTGGTGGCGCGTAGGGCCACCCGTGTTGACGTCGCGGCGGTCGGGCTGGCTGGTGTATCCGTACCTGCGCATCTGTGTCAACACGTGCGAGCTTAAGACAGAGGAGACAAACGCACCAGTAGCCATTATCATTCAGCACACCCGCAGATTTAAAGAGTGCGTTCTTACCAGTGGCGTAGGCGTCCGGCGGGTTGCTCTGCACGAAGCAACCTGTGGAATCCGATTAGCCGTTATTGTAAAAGGGATGACGAAGGGTACTCACCGAACCAGGAGGCGCGGTCCACGTAGCCAGTGGAGTCCATCCAGACGTAGGCGTTCATCATGAAGTTTTTGATCTGCTGCTGGGTGGGGTTGGAGGCGCTCGTGATACCGAGCTCAGTGACCCAGACGCGGTAACCGAAGCGCGAGTGTGCGCTCGCAACGAATTTCTTGAACGTGGCGATGTCATTCCACGAACCGTACCTGTAGAAATAATCAGCCCACAATGAAGAAAGGGGGGCAGAGGGAAAGGGGGCGCACCAGTGCACGGTGACGAAATCGACGTGGCCGCCGCGGTTCTTGAGCTCACTGAGGAAGCTCGCAGTCCAGTCAAGGTTCCATGCGACGGCAGGGCTGCCGAGCTTAACGCCCTTGGCGGCCCAGGGGTGGATCTCCTGCATCCAGGTGGAGGCAGCGTCGGCGGGCGACATGTTAGCCTGGCCGGAGATGTCGGGCTCGTTGAACCCGAGGAGGTGCTGCGGCGTCTTCTTCTGCATCTCCGCCTTGCGAGAACTCCACTGGCTCCATTTCTGTCATATGTTCAAGTCAGCGGCTGCGTTGAAAAGGGGGGAGTCCAAGAGATGCGCACCGAGGTTCCCCAGAACATCGGGACGTATTCGAGCTTCGACGGCATCTGGGAGACAGGGCCGTCTTGCCAGTCTAGGAGACGTTGGGCGTCAGATGAGAATCATCGGGAGATATGCGACATTGAGGGAACGCACGGTGGTACCAAGTGACCTTCGGCTTGCTGCCGATGACGGGCGCAAAGTTGTTGTCGGTGGCCCACGCAAGACCACGGTCTGTGGCGTACACCGAGGGGAGAGCGGCGAGGAGAGCGACAGCGGTCGACACCGTAGCTACTGTGCGGGAGGACACCATTTCGACCTCAAGGAGTGTGCGGTAACGAGCGTGAAGGTCGGGCGAGGCCGCTGCAGATAAGGAGCCGGGGGAGGTGGGGGAAGGAAGGAGGAAACCTTGAGCACAAAGGGGACATTTTGAACGTCCGGCGGTGTAGGGGCGATCACACAGGAGTTGAGCGCTCATTGACGTTCATTGACAGTCATTGCACCGTTGAAACAGGGGGGTCTCAGGGCCGCTGCTGTTATCGATCCAAATTCGATCCATCCAGGCCAAGGAATAAACTTTTGCAACGTTTTTGTGGGGGTGCTGACTGAAGACTAAAGGTAGACTTTTCGCCAGATTCGCGTGTGTCCGCATTGTCCGGAAATGGCTGGAAAATGTTGGAAAGGTGACATGGAAGTGGAAGCAGAGAGGGGGTCTGTATGTGCCTGTAATTTTCTGACGGAATCAACAAGCAACACCAATTTGAGCGGCTTCGGTTGCGCAGTCGTTTCCAAGTGATTTTGACAACGCACTATTACTGGTAATATTGCCAGGAGAAATCAAGGCAAATGGTTGAGGAGGGGCCAAGCACAATGCGCGTCAAGTCGATGAAACAGGGTTGGATAACAAGTTGAATTTAACTAATCAAGCACCTACCGACAGCCGGAGGATATAATCTGTGTCGCACATTCGCGGCAAAGAAACTCAATTTTCTGAGCCAGGATCATATTTACAACTTACAATGGACTATATGAACAGGGGGATAATCGTTTTACATATGCACCGCGCCTCATCTTGAACTTGTCTTTGACAGTTCCGTCGTTACAAAAATCCCTCAGGTTCTCCCGTTCACTGCCGCTCCCTCGTACTCAACCGTACGGCGTACTGGCCTCGCACGGTAGAATCTTTCTCATGTTTGGTTGAACGTGATTGCCTCAGGCCTGATGACTCTGCATTCATCTGACGCTTCCCTTCTTCACGGATCTCCTCTAGAATACGCAAAAAGATCCCAGTTAGAACTCCCACTAATGCTACTCGTCTGCTTGGGAGAAGGCTATATACTTGCCCGGTACACGAACTTTGTTGAGAGCCTCGTGGTCTAATGGTACGACACCATGCATTCTACGAAACACCGAAAGCTGGAGAATGCGAGTTCGATTCACGCCGGGGCAAATATCCCTTTTGTATGATCCCCCTCTGGTATATTAATTTGAAAAATGACTCGGAGTGACTATGAAATGACCTTGTTTGTCCATATTACACTGATGCAAAACGCGACGCGTAAGAGGCACGTGATGCACCGCCACGGATTTCGCTTTCAAGAATCAACCGCGGCATCGAGATACTAGATAGGGTTCGAATTGGCACTTACAAAATACGCAATGCTCGGGAAGCACCGTGATTTACTGCGAGCAATCTTCGTGGCAGTTGGCGTATTGAATCAAACCATCCACAATGTTTTTCAACATTATGTCTCCCGAACCCGTCCCATAACAAATGGTTTGAGGGTTTGAACCCCAGGACAGCTTGTCAATCCTTGTCTACTACGCAGTCTCGACGGATGAGATCTCCCCGTAGGCCGAGTAAATTGTACCTTAGCAGTGCGGGTATTATGTTGAACTAGGACAGAAAAGTTGACCTAGACACGTCTCAGTGTCGAATGAGGATGATAGCTTGTATCGGAGTTGAGCTTGACTCTAACAGTCCCTGCAGATCAATGTAGATCACCCGAGCCATATTATGAACAAGGGAGGTGATATTCGGGTGAAGGCGGTTCGACTCCGCCGGGGACATGGATCTCGCGCAGGGTCGATTTTTTTTACAAATTCCAGGATGTCGCCAGACTCCGGACCTCAGGAACCCAGACTCCCACGACCAGCATGAACACTGCAGGTCAGTGATTGTCTGGATCATTTCCTTGTCCTTGGAACACCGACTCCTTGTCAAAGCCTCAGCCAGTGCCTGGACTTTGGACTGTCAACGGAAGTTTGGAAGAAAGGTCAGAATAAAAACACTTGCCTAGTTTCTTAGGGAAGAACACCGTCAGCGAACACTGTCGAATGTTCAACGACGGCAATCTCGGCCAAGCTCGGCGTCTCTCCGAACTCAGTCGGCTTACACCGCCACTTCTTTCCGCGCCACGTGTACTGCCAAGTGAAAACCACTTCAACAGGCGATCCGTACCATCGCCGCTTGGACGCTCTGTCAATGCTCACCACGGACCGACCTTTGCACCAGCTCTAAGACCCATTACTTGTGGTTTTTCCCCACTTTGGCCCAGCTCAGCGGCCCGAAGACCCTCCCAGTCCACGGCTTAGGTCTCGGATGCAGGAGAAGAAAAAAAAAAATTCAAGACTAACGGCACCCATGGGCGGTTCTCGGAGAATCCTGTCTCAATCGCTCAGGTGCTCAATACAAATCCCGGACCCCCGCCAAGCTGGCGGCCCAGTGGTGGGTCTAAAAGCATGAATCCGCGATATAACCGCTCTTGCTCCTCGCCCCCATCGTCCGCAGAAAGTTGACCACCGCGACTATGTCTAGCGACTTCGATGCCATCGTCACTCGTTTGGCTGCAGCGGACACAGTGCCGTGGTACAGGAAGCCGAACTTGCGATATCTGTATATGATTTTGCTGCCCACTTGTATTGGGGTGGAGATGACCAGCGGGTACGTCGTCTCCCCGCATCCATTGCTAGCCCATTTACCTGTCGATCAGGTTCGATTCCTCGATGATGAACGGGCTGCAAGCCGTGGACTCCTGGGATACTTGTCAGTTTATTTTCCTTTTGTCTTTCGCGGACGGGATGTGATACTGACCCGTCTTCAGTCTATCATTCTCCGCGTTCTACACTCTTGGGACTTATGTCGGCGGCATACTCTCTCGGGGCAGTTGTTGCTTTACCAGCTGTGCCATACGTGAACGACGTCTTGGGGCGTAGGATGGCCATCATCTTCGGAAGTATTCTCATGTTCATTGGCGCCGCCCTCCAAACCGCTTCCCAGAACTGTGCGTTGGCAATTTTTGTCTGACCCGTCCTGTTTTAATCGGAACAACCCCCGCACAGTCGCCATGTTCGTCATCTCGCGGCTCATCCTCGGCCTCGGAATCCCCTTTGCCATCGTCGCCGCCTCCTCCCTCATCGGCGAGCTCTCCCACCCCAAAGAGCGCGCGCGCCTCGGCTCCCTCTTCAACGCATGCTACTTCATCGGGAGCATCGTTGCCGCGGGCGTCACCCTCGGCACCTTTTCCATGAGCTCCAACTGGGGCTGGCGCATTCCCTCCCTGCTCCAGGTATCCCCGAGCGTCCTGCAGATCGCGTTCATCGCGTTCCTCCCCGAGTCCCCGCGGTGGCTCATCTCGAAGGGCCGCGGGGAGGAGGCGCTGGAGGTGCTGGTGCGGTACCACGCCGAAGGCGACGCGGACTCGGAGTTCGTGCGGGCGGAGTACGCCCAGATCGAGCGCACGCTGGAGCTGGAGAAGGAGACGAGCAAGACCAGCTGGAAGGACTTCGTGGCGACACCTGGGATGCGTAAGCGACTGCTCGTTGCTTCCGGGCTGGGGCTGTTTACACAGTGGAGCGGGAACGGGCTTACTGGGTGCGTCGTTTCTCCGTTCATTTTATCATACCCCGTCCGAATTCATTCGAACACAGGTACCTCCTGGCGCGGATTCTCGACTCGATCGGCATCCACGACAACCGCGAGAAGAACCTCATCAACCTCGCGCTCACCGCATGGGGGCTCGTCAACGCTACGATCCTTGCGCTCACGGTCAGCAAGTTCCGTCGCCGGACGGTGTATCTCGTGCGTGCTGTTGTTTTTCCTTGATTTCGGATGGGACTGAAACGATTTGCGCAGACGTGCACCATTTCGCTGTTCCTGATCTTCACCGGCTGGACGGTCGCGAGCGCGCGATACGTCCAGACAGGAAGCATTCCGGCGTCGAAGGCGGTCCTTGCGTGCGTCGTTTTCTTTTCTTTCTTGGACGGGAGACTGACTAAAACTTGAAACCGATCAGATTTATCTTCATCTACAGCCCCGCGTATAACCTGGGATATAACGCGCTCACTTACAGTACGTTCCCTCTCACATCATATGCTGTTCAATCACTCAGTTATGCACCGGACAGCCTTCCTGGTGGAGCTCTTCCCCTTCCACGCACGCGCAAAGGGCATCACGTTCTTCCAGTGGTGGGGCCGCATGGCAGGCTTCTTCAACCAGTTCGTGAACCCCATCGGTCTGGCAAACGCGGGGTGGAAATATTATATCGCGTATGTCCTTCCCCTTACTCCCGTTTCTTTCTTTGCTTGTATCCCACAGCTGATTGCGTGTTTTGTTTTTGCGGAATACAGATACGTCGTCTTCCTCGCATTCGAGATCCTCTTCGTCTACTTTTTATTCCCCGAGACGTCGAATCGCACGCTGGAGGAGCTCGCGTTCCGTGAGTACCAACCTTCATTTGACTACTCTTCGCCTTCCATGTCCTCCCCTCTCTTCTCTCTTCTGCTTTTTTTCTTTTTTTTTTGTGAAACCCACGGCTGATGCTGTGATACGATGCAGTCTACGAAGGCGACCAGATTCGGGAGGAGCAGGTCAAGAGGGTCAAGGAGGAAATCCAGCATGAGGCGAAGGAGGAGGTGAATGAGGATGGGTCGTTGGAGGAGAATGTTAACCTGGAGAAGAGATAAGCGAAGCCAGCGGGAGTGAATTGGCAGCAGAGATGATGGTGCCATACATAGTATGTGTTCGAAACTCGAGTTCTCCCGCATAAGAAAACTACAAAACTCCCATCGAAATGAGCAGTAAAGTGGATCACGGCGGTCGGAAGCAATCACCACCTGTAGCGTATATTTTTCTCAAATAATGGGGCGTTCCGGGCTTTCTCTGCGACACGTATCAATCTGGGTCTGGGTCATGTGGCATAAGTAAACAACTTGGGTCCTGCATTCCTCGAGGTAAATGTGGCTCGCGACGACGGAGGTAAAAGCTTACATTCACAAACAGAACTTTAGTTCTGATTGTGCTTAGAGGACCGAAAATGTCGCCAAAAATTACATGTGACTTGTGCACAAAACGTGATCTTCTGTCATTTCCGCTGACATCGATGTTCGAACCCGTGAAAAATGAACTCCGAGTTGATTCAGGCGAGTATCATTCATCTGGACATCCACGACCTGAAAGAAAAGGAAATGATCTCTACTACTGGCAGCGTAACCATGCCTTTTCAATGCCTTTTCCCCTTGCTCCTGCCTCTAAAAGAAGAAAATAAGAACAAGTTGAATCTCCTACAGAGCTGCCTCGCAATTGTGTTCTTCACAGACACCTGATATGTTCAAAAATCTGTTTGTGACCCGCCGCTTGCCGGCAACCTATATTCATTTTTTTCTATGCTGTAAGAAGAAAAAAGGCTTGTAGTATGATTCCACGTGACCGCGATTGATGAGATCTTCAGATGTCATCACTGATCAGCGATTTCCTCTTTCTTGCTTTTTCCCGTTATCTTCCCGTTCACGCTGCTCATTCCCGCCAAGTTGTGAGCAAACTTCTCTGCTTCGAGGAATCAAAGGTGTGTATTGTACCTTCCTTCAAGGGATCGAGTGTTAAGGCGCCATCGATAACAGTCTGACCGTTGACGATGCATTCGCCTTTCACGCACCTCCTCTCCTCCGGGTCTCCTCCCACTGCCAGTGATATCCCCGTGATTCGAGGACTCATACTAGATGCTGAGACCCTCGTGGTGTCTCTCGACGAGCGGATTGCAGCGATGGAAGCCAGTCTCGCAAAATTGAAGTTGGACAGAGAAGATACCGCTGCTTTTGCTCTCACGCACGCTGTGTTGGTCTCACCCCACACTTATTATCCCGTCGAGATGATATGCGAAATATTTCAGCTGTTTGTCCAGTCTGGCGGCGATCCCTGGGTGTTGGGCCAAATTTGCCGCCGGTGGAGGACGATTGCACTCGATTTGCCTGTGATCTGGTCGTCTATCGACATCGATCTCCCCAACTCGCCCACAGATCTTAGTCCCTTGCACACTGGACTGCGGCCATGGCATAACACACTGACCAGGGCTGCGACGCAACTTAAGAGGTCGGCCGAGGCTCCCTTAACGATCGCTTTCCGCGCTGTGCGTACCCAGATGGAGACTGCACTCAGCCATTATGTCAGCAGTCTCGTCGAATCTTTGGTCGCCCACGCGGAACGCTGGGAGCATGTTTGTTTGGTTATATACCCAGAACAATACTCGCTCCTTGCTCCTTTACAGGGACGACTTTCATCCCTCAAAAGTCTCGCGTTGGATACTTCAACCAACAACCTCACAGATCCCCATCTTGATGCCTTCCTCGTAGCTCCCAAACTCCGCGACGTGACCCTCATCGGGGATATGCTGGACATTCAAAACGCCATACATCTGCCATGGTGGCAAATCACCCACTACAGTGCAGATTTGGGCTACAATCACGAGCACATGACCGTGTTTTCAGTGCTCACAAGCGTCGTGCAGGCTCGATTGACACTTGGAAACCTTGCACCGACAACGCACGAGCCCCGCCGGCGAGTGGCGACAATGGAGAGCTTGTATGTCAACCGAGGCTCCCTGCTGGATCTCGATCTTCCCGTTCTCAACGAACTCACTTTCGAGCCGTACGACCACGACCCCCGATTCCAAGAAGCCCCCCTCGAAAATCTCCTGACGTTCCTCACCCAGTCTTCCCCCCCTCTCACAAAACTCTGCCTAATCGGGCCCAATTTTCCTGATGCACTCCTCGTGCGCGTCTTGCAGCAAACCCCGGCGCTTGTCGACCTCTGCATCCAATGCCGTCACCTTAAAGTCGTCGAGTTGGTGTACCTCTCCGACGTCGTCGATTTCCTGCATGCAGGGGAAGACCCACATCTACCTCATCTTCGGACTTTGACGTTCGGAGGTTATGAGTTCACAGATTACAAGAAACTCGCAGATATGGTGGATTCGCGATGCCGCGGGGCACAGCAGCGTCTCGAATCCTTTCGTCTCATCACCCGCCATTCACCCGACTTGTCCCAAGTTAACAGAAGATTGGAGACCCTCCGTGCAGAAGGGCTGGAGTCAATCCTCGTTGATGGTGAAGGGGCTACAGAGGCATTGTTTTCCCTCCCATTTTTTGCGATTTCGTACGCTCGCTATGAGAGCGACTGGAGCGAGTGGCAGACCTACGTCGCCTAGGTTATTTACTTTGTACGCGGTTGTGGGGATGTGTGTGTCGAACGGGAGAACATAAAAATACTGTTCGAAAATGCTGCTCGACTAGAACAACGAACGCGTTGAGAGTCGATCTTGGTCTAAATAAAAGTAATATCGATATCGCTGCGCGGCAGTTCATGTTGGAACGCTGTGCGGGCGCCTGTCCCCTGCGGAGAAGTCACAAGCACATATATCTTCAACTCAACCGTGCAGAGGAAACTCACCGGTAACGTATGGACGACGTTCTGTCGCTACCCTTTCTCTACCAACCACCAGAGTAGCCACTTAGAGTTTTTGGCTGTCAGCCCCGTGGTCTAATGGCACGACACCAGGATTCCCTGACACGTTGTAGCCTGGAGAATGCGAGTTCGATTCCCGCCGGCGCAGATCTGTTACTTTTGCCGTCCCTGCTGACATTGACTGATAACTTATGACTCGAGACCCCTGTCAAGGGCATTGTTTGTACATGTTCTGCTGATCGAGCGCGACGCGACGAGACACGTGACGCACCGCCACGTTCCTTTTCGTATTGTCCCTTGCCACGGGTCTCCCCATCTGAAGGCTGAATCCGCGCTGCTGTACCGAGCGCGAGCCTAGGTGTTTGTGTACGTTGTCCTACTTGCCATTTCAACCTCCTCCATCGTTGAAGTCGCCGTTCCCAAAGGTGGTGACCACGGGTTGAAGCTCAAGGCTGAGTCTACTGTCTGACCTGATCCCAGTGGCCGAAACCCACGAAAACAAAGAAAGAACTGCCATTCCAAGGAGGAGTTCCTGATGTGAGCCCATACCTTTCATTGAGCCATATTCTGGAAATTCATACAAAGCCCTCAAGTATCGCCACATCCAGCGCCATATGCCCTCCGCGTCTGACATTTTTACGCCGAAAGCTGCTCGCACTCGCATAGCGGCTATCGATGCTGAAATCGACGCTCTTCAAAAGTCCATTCTTGACCTCCAACTAGAAAGGTCGACCTTAAAATCACATCTCGATGCCCTCGTCTATCCTGTGTTGACCCTGCCCAACGAAGTCGTTTCGGAAGTGTTCCTACACACCATCCCCCGGTGGCCATCCCCTCCCATCGACACCCCGCTTCAGTCGCCGCTACTCCTGGGTCAAATCTGTAGCAAATGGCGAGAGATCTCTATCTCAACCCCTTCGCTCTGGACTAAAATTGACATATGGCTCGATCGTGTCGCCGCGCATGACCACGACAACAAACTTCGTCTACTGGCACTCTGGTTAACCCGCTCCCGCAACTGTCCTTTGCTCATCAGTATCATCGCAGGGCGCGCGCCTATGGCGAACGAAAACTTTGCATTCCGCCGGTATATTGAAGCGATCGTGCCGCACTCCACGCGTTGGGATACACTCCATCTAGCGGTCCCTTTTCGCGATCTTCCCCTCATCTGCGGAGCATTGCCGCTCCTACGAGAATTGGCGATGACCATTCTGGACGCCGATGAAACCCCACTTGCTCCTGTGCATGTATTCGATAAGGCTCCGAAGTTGGAGTGGCTGCACTTACTCCCCACGCTGAGTCCGAAACGAATCGTTTTTCCCTGGACGCAGATCAAAATTATGTCCATAAACATCTACTTTGCGGAGCACCTTCTCTAAGTTCTGCCCTTGATTGTTAACGTGACAGACTTGACAATCAAACTCCGTTCTTTCGAAGAGGGGCTTACCGGAGACACACCAGACATTCCACCGTTCCCCCATTTACGCACTTTGAATCTGCTGGGCACTGACGACCTCAGTTCCCGTACGGTGTGGAAGAGAGGGCTTGTCCTCACATGGACAAAGGAAGTGTCAAGGTCGTGCTGGCGGATGTCGAGGCTTGCAGCAGAATGGCAGTGTCGTGAGAATGAGAATCAATCTATGTCCAGAACAATCAGGAGTAGGGTACTGTTTATTGGTCATGTTTATAAACCGGTTTATAAACAGCGGTTTATAAACACGGTTTATAATCTTTGGACCAAACCGCCTGTTTATAAAGAGCCTGGGGCTAGGCCGGGTGGCAGAAAATTTAGACTAAAACTCATATATTCGGCGGTCAAATCTTCTTTTCCGCCCAACAATGGACGGGAAAAATCTCTTGGGCTGAAAGAATGGTGTGAATTGCGACCTGAAAGACCTGTCTTACCGTTCTGCCCCCATTTACTGGCCATGATTGAGGCAATACACATTTTCTAGGGTTCGAATGGATGCAACTTGCTCGACTTCATTCGCCTTTGCCAGCGGAGGCAAAAAATCCATTTTGGTACTCGAGCAAGTGGCTTGGGAGCAATTTTGGTGTGTGGTTTATAAACATGTTTATAAACAGCCTGTTTATAAACGAAAGATTATAAACCGTTTATAATTCCCTAAGAATAATAAACAGGACCCTAATCAGGAGGCTCAATAAAATATAAAACTTAGCTCAAATGCGTCGAAAGGAGAGTGGATTCGCGTGAGTGAGAGCAGCGAGGGTATATTGAGGTGGTGGTAAGAGGTAAAGTCGGAATGATGTCCAAACAAACAAATAAAAACATGTATGTAATTGTTCCGTGATGAAAAGCCGCAACTAGGAGTCAGACCTCCGTCCAACGGGCAGTCCGGGAGCTACGCAAAGACGTGATAGGGAGAGCACGTCCTCCCAAGACGTTGACGAGTGGGTGCCCAAGCCACCGTCGGCTCGATTCCCGGCGTAGTCCGAGAAGGCCGAGGACTCGGGTTCAACTCTTCGTCTTGGCGGTACGTAGTGAAAAATGTAGAGTGTCTGTGGTGAGTAGCATAGGTAAGTGAATGAGTGTGTAATAATGTCAAAATGCTCAATATCAGCTGTTTTACGCGTGGTTGTAATATTGTGGTTGAAATGTTCGGTATGTTGAGTCGTCCATGGAAGATGTGTCCGTACGTGCGCAGAAACACGGAGTAAATCTATGAGGAAGAAACGGAAAAATGTGTGAGCAATGGTGAAAAACTCGGTCAACGGTGGGTATGAGTGCGGAACAAAACATTGGCGGTGTGGCGGGTCGATCGTGCTCCTTGCCCCAAAACCGTGAGAAGGGGCTTGGCGACGAGGGAGCCAAGTCACCCTTCCACAACGGTCGTCCGTCTGGTTCAGAAGTTGACGCTTCCGAGTCTACACCAGTTGAGTGTCGACGCAATTTCCCTCGCACCACGAGCTATCAAGGCTCTTCTCTCGCGATCCCGCTGCCATGGGCCCTCGTTCTACCTCGTAATCCGAGAGTCGGCTTTCACAGAGGCATACTACCGTAGAGTGTTGCGAACAGTGGGGACAATCGTCGTCGAGGAACCTGCTGACGGAGGTATTGGTTTCTTGGCCGCGTCGACTACCGCTGATTCCGAGTCTGCAGACGAAGCTACAGAGGAAAGTGGCGGCGACGCAGGCGATGAGGATGATCAAAGCTCGGATGAATATGACTGACTAGCCTTCACGCATGATTCACGACTTTTCTTGGCTAGCACTCACGTCGCGCGGCTTGACTGCTCAATGCTCATCACGCTCGATTACTCCTAGTAGCAAAACAACTCCAGACGGTAACTCAATTTTCTTCCATTGCGTACGTTCTCAACAAGGGACCCAGCAACGAAGTCGATAGATGCCCTGTCCCTTCCATGGACGAAACTTTCGACCACTGTAACCGGTTTTACTTGAGAAGAAGGACCTGCATTGGGACGCTGGGCGGATCTCTCGATACGAAATAAGTGAACCAGACGAAAGGTAGAAATTCAAAGTGTTCCTGTCGCCCATTTTAGCTAGGATATGCCCCCTTTTATTTTGGGGGGATCCATATTTCTTCTGAGGAACGGATGGGGTTGAATCCGGGCCGGCGGCCCGCTGTCTGACACATTCGCCTCTTGAAGGCCCTCTTCGTCTCGACCACCATCATCCTCCGATTTTTTTTGGATCCCTTACTCTCGTGTCCAGTCCCACTGGAGGAATCAGTATGGCGAACGTCCAACATATATCCTCACCTCCAGAATCTCCGGAGACCCAGCTGTAACGACTCTTTTACGTTCAGTGATAATTGACACTAATCGACCCGCAAAATCATTTAGGGCCGTTATACCTGAGCCACCTGTTCCTGTAAAGACCAAGATGTCTGCTATTGTCCGCGAAATAGCGTGGCACTATGACCAAATTATATCGTTGAAGGCGAAGCGGAATGCAATGGCGCCGATCTGGAGCCTGCCCAACGAGCTCATATGATCATGATACGTATCTTGACTATCTACGCCGTCGAAACCCAAAGCCTTTTCAACCTCAAATGGACGAAAGTCATGTACGTTTGTCACCGTTGGCACGAGCTCGCACTTGCTGCGCAGCCGTTGTGGAAATTTCTCGATGCCAAGCATAGCGGCTTGTATAAGCATCGCCTTGTAATCCAACTCAAGCGTTCCGGTGTCGCTCCTTTGAGCCTGCAGTTGCACTTCTCCAACAAACCGTACTATGCTCACTATGCGCTGGAATATTCCGAGCGTATTGCTCAGCTCGAGGTCGCTGAAGCGGCCCAGTACGTCTATGATCTGATTGGCAAGCTCCCGAATTTCAAATTCCCCATCCTCTCCTCCCTCTCCTTGGATCTCAGCGACAAAAAGAATGAGCTTCAGGAGCCTCTCCCTTCCGCTCTCCTTGACGGAAGGTTGCCTAACCTACGCGAACTAACACTAAAATCCATCGCCTTCCCATGGACGTCTCTGAGCGGCTTGGAATCACTTTCCTTATCGAAATGCAACGACTCTTCCGAACCTCCTCTCTCGGGGTTCGCCGGACTGCTGCAAATCCTCAGGGCATGCCCGCAATTGCGCAACCTGGCCCTCGATCTATGCATGCCGATCCCCGTCCCAGATCAACTGTATGCTACAGTTCATCTACCTGCCTTGGCTTGGCTGCGACTCGGCGACCTTGTCCATTCGTGCGAGGCGTTGCTCAATCACCTACGCCTTCCCCCAAAAACGTCCATCGAGATTTTTCCCCTCGGTGTGCGTAATGGGGCAGACATCAGACGCTTATTGGTGCCAATCCGCAAACACGTCCGGGCGGCCGGCGCGAGGAAGCCGTTATTGCTCCAGATCAACCGTAAAAGCAACTCGTACTGCACGATGTCGCTGTTCTGTGACACCGACCCACCTAACTTATACAAGTTGGATTTTGAGGGGTATCCTCTTGCGCTCAACTTCCACCCGAAGTCTGAACGCGCCTTTCGTCAGATTATCACAAAAGTCCTCCACGCGTTCCCCCGGCCCGACTCCATCACGCAGCTCGATGCCCGTATCGGGCCCGATATCCAAGAGGTATCGTGGCGGGCTCTCCTGATGCTCCTCCCCAGCCTGGAGACCGTGTACCTCACAATGGATGCTACCACTATGAACTGTGTTG